AGAGCCAGGGATTGAACTCAGGCCCTTGAGCTTGCCAGGCAAGCACTTACTCAACTGAGCTATTTCCCTGGCCCTTAGCTTTTCTCTTGTTTTATGTTTTTTGCTTTCCAAGAATATGAACTAATTAGTTCAGCCCACTAGAGAATGACTGAGTATATGGAATAAATTTAGTCAATGGAATTGGTATCAGACTAGGCTCGCTTATCCCATATTTGAGAACTAACGGTAGTGTTCTGTAAGTACTAATTTAGTATACACTATCCTGGGAGCCTGAACAGTTTCCCAAGAGGATCAATATCACCCAAGTCAACACAGCATCAGAGATGCTAACTGCAAATACCATATCAGAGGAGGTAAATCTCTATTATACAGGGAGGCTTCATCCATTTCCAGTCTTGTTTTAAGGACTCTGAAAGGGGAAGACAGGGCGAAGGAGCGAAGGCTTTCACCCAAAGTTAATTAGTGCACAAAAAGGAAGACCATCAGCCTTTCTGTTGTGTCTTGCTGCTTATATTCTTGCTGTCTAGATGTGGAAGCAATGCCATTGGCACCAACTGAGTAGCTATCAACCCCCACAGGGCAGGTAAACAAACAACTAGTTCAAAGGGCTGGAAGAAGACAAGTCTATGATTTCAAGGGAAAGCTTGGGGGTAATGAAATGTATACTAGACGTGGAGACAAAAGTTCTGGCCCCAGGCATCCATGGATCCTTGAAAAAGAAACTTCCACCTGAGTTTGATCCCTTCCTAATTAACTATCAACAAGCTTCTGGATTTCATTCATACTAACTATGTCATATTACAGAAATCATTATTGTACTGTGATGTGAACTTCTTTGGAAGTGTGTGTCCATAATGAACTATAATATAAGTTCTTTGAAGGCAAGAAGAAACTTTCATTTCTTCTGGGCATCTCTAGTACTTTTTCAGAGACTAGTAAAAGCTGACAAGACAAAGTAAAGAGAATAAAGGCAAAAGCATTTGATTTTGGCCAAGCCTGTATGTAGTCTTCTGTGAATCATGAGTTCCAGGAAGAGGAGATAGCTAACATAGCCAGGTCGGGGAGAAGGCTGGCAGGTGGGGAGTGTGGGAGTGAATGGAAGACAAATAAGGTTTTTATCTGCTAAAATCAACACATCAGTGGTGCTCCGCAGTGAAAAGATGGCTGGTGCAGACATTTAAAATTAGCCTCTCCTGACAGTTCCTTAGCAACGCTGTACCAGAACATTATTGCTTTTAATGTGCACTGCACAACGTTCACGTGCACATCAGATGGCTAGGAAATGGCCATTGTTAACAGACACTGAACAAAAAGATAGGAAAAACACACTACTCAAAACACCCTCCTCATTGCCTTATGGAGAAGAACAAATAGTGCAGATTTTCCACTGACCTTCCCTCCCAGGCTGCCCATTAGGGGTGCCAATCACTGCCTACAAAGCCGTGTGGCTTCTCATTTCTGTGTCTCTAGGCTTGCTGCCTGTTTGCTCATAGGTGACTACCAGCCTTCTGTTTTTCATTGAAGAGAGGTGGGTTGGTGATTTTGTTTTATGTGAGAACAATAAACCAAAATCAATGTCCCCCAAATGAATAGCAGCCCCAAAATATTTCCTTAGATGAAGCAAGACATCTGAAACTCACACAAGTGGGTAGGACACTGTTGCTTCTCTATGAAAGGTTGAAAACTCAAGGTCAAATTGAAGGAGCAAAGAAACATAGTATTAATGTCTTTCTTGGAAAAGCCAACTATGAAAGAGAAAAGATAATAAATGGACCTATGGAGACCTCATTCTGTATTTACATGTTAGGATGTGACACTTTTTGTAATACTAAGGATTGAACACAGGACTTCTGTACTGAGCAACATACCTAGCTCCTCATTTAATTTTTTTTTAAATTTAAACAGTGTCTCATTAAGTCTTCCAGGCTGGGCTTCAACTTGTGATCTTCTGCCTGGACTTCCAGAGTGACAGGACTGCAAGTGTGTGCCGTCAGGCCTGGCTTGACACAACTTTAAATGAGTGTCCGTGCAAGTCAGAGTCGCCCTCTACCACTTCCTAGGCTATGTTCTAGGCCTTCCCTCCCATACAGCCAATGGCTATATGGCCCTAGCAAAAGCATTTTCTCACCTGTAAAAGTCACATAATAACTGCTTTTAAGTGAAAGGTACCTCTTAATTAACTGTTCAGGAGACTAACGTGTGAAAGAAGTGAAACATTTGAGAAATATAAAATACAATTCTTACTTCCAGAAGCATTTGACTAGGCAGGTATCTCAATTCAGAATATTACAAACAAGAAATTTCTACTAAAAAACACAAACAAGCAAACAAACAAACACCTCTTACCATGGATGGAAATTGGCAACACATGTGGGCTTCCATAGGGACAACCCACACATCACCTGGGTATGGGAGTAACCTAATTCCTGTACACCTGAATGGGGACTAGGTACTGGGGCTTACCTCTTGAACTAGGGAAGGAGTTGTTGAGTTGCTCCATCACTTCCTCTAACCCTGTGCTTGTGTCTTGGGGAGGACTGAGAAGATCTTCCTCACCTTAAGGGCAAAAGCAAACAGCAGCAAATTACACTTTAGCAAAACACTGAAGCAGGGCCAGGGAGATAGGTGAGTAGAACAAGTGCTTGCCTGACAAGCACAAGGTCCTGAGTTCAATCCCCAGTACCGCAAAACAAAACACCGAAGCACTAGAGAAAGGCATCATAATCATATTTTTAAATCCATCATAAAATCATAAATAACAAAAGTCCTCCAGCTTCATATTCAGAGAACAATTCTTTAAAGTAAAGAACACCATGAGGTAATTTATCTGTGTCATTATTTTTGGAGAAGAAACCTGTGTATCTATTTAGAAGTTAAGGTAAAGTTGACAAACTCTTTTCTTAAGGTCCAGTAACAAATGTGAAGCTATCCTTTATAACTGAACAGTATTTGCACATACTGCAGTACCTCTCGACACAAAAAACATGAAACTGTGACATTTTGCTTATTCCTATGAAAGCAGAAAGGAAGCAGAGACACTAAGGTATTGTTTTTACTCTTTGACTTTTAACACAAAATGCAAACACTCAAGTACCTGTGAAGTTCAGTATAAAAGAACCAAAAGTTGCATGTGATCTGTATAGATATCTAAGAATGATACTAAAGACAGTAGATAAAGGTTACACAGGGAAATGAGTAATGTCCGTTTCCTCTTCGTTAACTGAGACTAGAACAATCTAATTGGAGATTTTTTTAAAAAATTTCAAGAACATGTTTATATAACAGAAATAAAGGAGTTAGTAATAATGCATGGTCTTCGTTGGGAATGGACTCTCCTTGTAGATTTTGTGGACTGGTATCTTTATTGACTGGTCATGTTTTGAAGAAATATACCTCAAACAGCATGTGCAGTTTAGGAGAGAATTTCAAATTAATTTTAATTTTGAAGGTATTTGAAACTAATTTTTCACAATAATCAACCTTTCAATAATGAAAATCACTTCTTTCCAAGCTCTATTTGTTCAGCGCATTGTCATTTCCACCTAAGACAAGACCCGGCTTCAGCAAGTCAGCAATAATGAACATGCTTAAGGACAGCCTCAGGTTCACATCAGACTTGAAAATCACCGCAGAGCCATTTCTATGTTTTCATCCTTATATGTTTAATAGTACCAAGTTATAAGAATCACTGCCAGTACTAACCATTAAGAAAAAAAATACTATCTCAGGTGGACATGAGGCTGCATATCATTATTAGAATGGAGGGCTAAGAATCTGGGGTTGGTGAAAAGCCTCTAATTCTGCCTCATAGTAATATACCATAGGAAGCCTCTTTGAAATATTAAGTAAAGGAAAGGTATCCTGAATAATTAAGGTCCCAAAGCTGCAAAGAAAGATTCTCTGTCTTTACACACACTCACACACCCTTGTGTAAGTTTATGCCTTTAGAAAAGAAAATAACACTCAATATTTTGAGTTTATTTTTTTTTCCTTGTAGTTTTTTAAGTGACCATTAGCTGCTCAAGAGGAAAATGAATGAAATACTACCAGGAGAAAGAGTATTCTCACAACTGCAGGGCCAATTACATCTCTTTGTTACATTACAGATGCAAATTTGTGCTTAATTGGGAAACATGAAGCTTTTTAATGGCAGAAAGTCCACTTTACTGACAGTAGGTCTTACAGAATAAATCAGAACCAACAGAGACACTCATGAACATCGATGTTCATATCTCTGGCAGTTTAATTCCATTGTTTTGTAGCTCTAGGAACTCAATTGCACTGTGCTAAGATTCAGGTACAGTTCAATGATGTGACTGGCATTCTTGTCCCTGAATTATCTCGAGGATCAAATTAGAAAGTATAAATCTAATGATGTCAGCCAAGTTCATCTTTACAGATAAGCTATCATCTGTGAGTTGCAAATAGGAGTAATCCCAGTGCAGATGTAAAACTGGCTTGTTTTAATGGAAAACTTCCGTGGTAGTGATAACTTTACCCATTTACAAAATGCTAGAGGGGTTTAAACCCAGTGCTTCACACATGCTAGGTAAGTGTTCTATTCCTAAGCTACATCCCCAGTCCCAAATGAATCAACATTCTTTCCTTCTTTTCTTCCTTCTCCCTTTGTCTCTCCCCCTTCCTTTGCTTTTCTACTGAAGACTGAACCCAGGGCCTTTCTAGCACTCAGCTGTATTCCTAGCCCCCATTCAAACATTTTTGAATACTTAACTAAAGTGAAATCTTATTTTCTTCTTTTATCAAAATGCTCCAGTTTTCTCAAGATGCTTTCAATTCATCTCCCTTTAAGAACTGAAATCAGATTTATAACCTATATGCATGAGTAGAGGTGAATCCACTGACTGAAAAATGCATAATGCCTACTATTTTCTGTTTCACATTATACTGGAAAAATTTAAAACAGCTAAATGAAACTTGGATGTAAAGTTACACCATTGTACTATAAGATACTGGGCCAGGCTGTTTTGAATGCTTTTTCCAAAAACCTGTAGAGATGGCAAAGGGATCAAGGGATGGGGAGAGATGGGAAGAAGAGAAGACTGGGCAGTAAAAAGGATTGAGGCATGGCATGTATACCAATTACCATGGTAAATTTATTTATTACACACCACAAACATGTATGAAAACAAAAAATTTGAAACAGTAACATTACTTCTCATTCAAAGAATGAATTAACCAGGTTTAGTGATGCACACCTGTAACCCAAGCCTTCTGAGAGATGGAGGCAGGAAGATTACAATTCTGAGCCCAGCCTATGTAGCTCAGTGAGCTGTTTCAAGATAAAAAGGGCTGGGGATACAGCTCTGTGTGAAGGCCCTGGGTTCAACTCCCAGTAGCAGCACCACTGCCACCTCCACCACCACCACACACACAAAAACAATCAAAGCCCTATCTATCTATCTATCTATCTATCCATCCATCCATCCATCCATCACTGTGCTGGATGGCAGAATTCTAGCAATGAACACCCAAACAACCCCATCTTCACAAAACTCACATTGCTAAACAAAAATCAGAATCTTAGAGGTGTCAAGTCCTGAGAGTGTGCAGAAAGTGCAGTCTTTGAAGCCCTCTTGTGTGAGGTGCAGCTGGGTGAAAACTTTAAAGACTTGTGAGTGTGAGGGAAGAGTGTGTGAGAGTACACAACACATACAGAGGCACTGCTGGAAGTATGAGTAGGTTGTTCAACCTACAGCAGAAAAGGTGACCAGTGTGGACAGAGACTTGAGGGTTCGTAGAAGGTACTTCCCTGGCCATCAATCCAGCATGACACCACTATTTATAGGTTGGGCAATCATACACTGTGTAGCTATAATAGGCACCCCCAAATGTTCTTGTTTCTAATCATCATACCTGTGACAATAAAGCTTGGCCTGCATCCCCAAAATACCAAGAACTTTTTTCATTTATTTACCAAGAAAACAGGTACTAAGTCCCAACGATGATCACTAAGCACTTACCAAATGCTAGATACACCTTCTCATATATTAGATTACTTGTAATACCTAATGCAACGGAAGTGGCTTCTATATTATATTTAGGACATAATAAGAAAAAATCTGTACATGCTCAGCACACATGAATACTCCCCGCTCCCTACTCTCTAACTGAATATATAGATACAGAATCTACAGACACGGAACACTGACTATACTCCCAACTCTTTCATCAGATCACCTAGTCTGCCTTCTCCCACATTGCACTTAAAAAAGAAAATCATCGCGGTTGTGTATTGAAAGGACTCTCTTTCCAGAATATGGCTCAGCAAATCCCAGCCTTATCACACCTCAAACCTTCAAAGCGCAAAGACACACACTGCATTTATTTAAACACCTGTGAGCATCTTTCAAAGAGTCCTTTTCTTTCCCTCCTTAAATGAATGTGGCTTATGCAGTTCTGAGAAAAAGAAGGCCCCCTTTGAATTCAGCCTTTTCTTTCAGAGAACAAACTTAGCAACATAGCCTAGCCATTTTATATTGGCAAGTTATCTCTGAGCTTAGCTCAGCCGCTGGAATGCAGCATTCCTGTCCCTGTATTCAGCTCTGCCACAATTTTCCCGGTTCCATAAACCACCAGGCCCACCACCTGATGCGCACTTTAATTTTGGTGCCGTAATAGGCAGGCTAACTCTTCACCAATGTTGACAGCGTAAATAATGTTTCGAAGCACCCAGGGCTTTGAATCTCACTGCTAAACTATGTGACTTAATTTCACATGCTTTTCTTAAGAAACAAAAAGGAAAATCCTAAAGTAGAATAATGGCAGGAGTAAAGCTCAGTTTTTGGAATTTATAGACTTTTCAAAGGCATATAATTTTTTTTAGGTCTTGTGAGATCATTTATAGTCCCAACAGGCCATTAGTTCGATTCAAATCTTACATGGAGAAAAGAAAGCCTGACATAAGAGATCACCCTAAATCACTGAGACATGATAAAGTCAGGAGAATAACCTCAAATGTACCTTCTCACAGCAACTGAACCTTGTTTTTCTATAGTGTCTTACTTGGGAGGAGAAGAGCAGTCTTCTTCCTGACTGCTCTAGATACTATTTTTATTTTATACTTTAAGTTAGGCACTTGCTAAGTTACCTGAGCTGAGATCAAACTTGCAATATTCCTGCGTCAGCCTCCCAGAGTGCTGAGATGACAGGCATATGTCAAGACTCCTGACTCTGCTCCAGATTCTTGAATTTCATAAAATTTGCTTCACCTGCCTTCTCTTCTTCCTCAGAAATGTTCCCCTCTTCTCAGCCTTTATCCATCTTCCTCAGTATCTTTCCTACCTTGGTCTACCAGTATTGGCACCATACAGGTCTCACTATTTGTGGCTACGCCTCACAACCTAGCCTTCTCAACCCATGCACTGACCCTGTGACACCACAATGATCTCCAGGTACAACCTTCAGCAGCCCACTGGAAAGCTGTATCTGTATGTAGGAACAGCATGAAAGTATTTACATCCACAATGTTTCTAAACTTTAAACTTTCCCAACCATGGTTTCCTCATCTCCCCCCATAAAGCTCATTCACACCGCTGACCTTTCCTTTCCATTTGGATTAGGCCCTCTCCTTACTCTACACCCAATGGAAAATCTCAAGTGTGAAATGGATTCCCAAACACACTACCATACCAGGCAATAGAGCTTTTAAGTGAATTTTTGTTTTCTGAGACGGTGTCTTGCTATGTTGCTGGATTTATCTCGATATCCTATGCTTAAGGGATCCTCCCACCTCAGTCTCAGGAGTAGGTGGGACAAGTGCATGCCCCCTTGCTTGATTTTATAAGATTTTGGGAATCTTGTTTAACCAGTTTAGGGCCCATAGTAAAGTAAGATAGGAGGTGAGTCTGACACATGCTCACTCAGTCTTAAGGCAAATAGAGAAATGAAGGGAAAAGGCCAAATATTTGTGGGTTTCACAAAACACTAATAAGCAGCTGGCTAGCAGCCCCTGCCACTGCCATTATTACCACTGGAATGCACCATGCTCTTTTTGATCTTTTATCATTTACACCTCAACAACTCCAGGTTCCTTAGAAACCATCCTAGGCAAACAACCTTGCTAAACAATGATAGACCACTAAGATGACCTGGTCCTTTATTTCACTGAAGGGACAAAAAGTTTCTAATTTCCAATCTCTTGGCTGAAAATTCTCTTTCTCACTTGGTCAGTGTGTTTCCAGTTATCCATTGATGTTCATTTCCATGGAGCTCTCTTTGTGCATTTGATTTTTTGATCTCACCTTCTTTGTGAACCTATTCTTAACGCTAGTCATTTGTCATGCCATTATCCAAATGGAGGTCTTCCCCAAGGCACTGTATCTAAGTACCTTGTTATATCCTTCTTGGACTATACCTTTCAGCACTCAATCCTAGTAGCTCATTTCCCCAGACTGTCCTTGTAAGCCATGTTTATACTTGGATTTTAACTTCCTAGAAGACCTGCCAGATCATCAAGTACATTATGTCCAAAATAAAAAATTTCATTGTCTTTTACCAACCAAATTCTCCCCCTTTATTTCCTTCCCTCATGCCAAATCATCTCTTCCCACATCTTTTAAATGCACACTCTCAGGACTTAACATATTTTGGCCTTTGTAACTGCCTCCTAACTCACCTTTCTTGCCTATTAAAAGTCTTCAGGCCAGATAAAGGTGCTAGGGTACAGCTTTCAAAGTTCCTTTGTAGGTGTTTCCCAGCTGGTATGCGATTCTTCAGTGGTTCCCTCTTATTATTTTGTATCTGCATGTCCCGCCAAACCCACATGCAATTAACAGGGACCGTCACTTGGGCATGATATGGAAAGACATGCTTCCTTCCTGGCTCCACCCGTTACCCTCAGATTTCTGGCTGCCTTGATATGAACAGCTTTTCTCTGCCAGACACATCCACCTTGCCTTGCCTTGGACTTGGCCAACCAGGAACTAAAACTGTGAACCAAAATAAACCTCTCTTCATACCAGTGGGACAAGATGACTAAGGCACTCCCTGACACTTAATGAGTCAAATACCTCTGCTCAGTACTTGTGTCACCATACTGACACTCTGTGGCCTGTTTTCTTCTGTCTCCTACTTGGAAGACCCTATCTTGCTACTTAACTGGACTGTTGGCCATTTGCCCACCCTTGCCCAATCTCATTTCTACACCTTCACTTTCACCATTCCTACCTCAGAATATATCTGATCTCTACTCTATCTTTTGGAACCATTCACAAACATTAATTAGTCCTAAAGCTTTGCCTGGTCTCTGAAATGACTTGGAACTATAGTACCACTGTGTCTTGTCCTGAATTAATGAGAGGCTAGCATCCAATAAGGAATGTATATAACACCCTATTGAGAACTGTTGTTAGATAATTTAGCAAATGATGCGAACTGCTAGCAACCATCTCACTATCCCTAGATCTTTTGCACTGAGCTACATCTTACACACACACACACACATACATACACACACACACACACACACACACACACACACACACAAAGACCTCAGTTCATAAACCTTTCTGTTTTGAACAATTCAGTTGCAAAGAGAAGCATTCGAAAAATTTTGCTTCCATTGGCATAATCTGCATCCATCAGGGGATGAACACGATCATAGCCGTCTTTGCAGCACTGACACAATGGGGCCTTCTTCCCCAGAATCAGGGAACAAAGGAAGTTCACAAACTGAGGTACCACTGTGTGTGTTTATTTAGGAGACAGTTGTCCCACTAAGTTACTAAGTTGCCTAGGATTGGCTTGAAATTCCAATTCTCTTTCCTCAGATCCCAGAGTGCTAGGATTACAGCTGTGTGCTACTTGCAACCTCTAGCTTTAGAGAACAAAATCAGGGTGAAGCTAAGACACTTACCCATGGATTCTGAAGTTTGACTGCCAACCACTCGGAGAAGCATAGGCTGACTGCTGTCTGACCTCTGCAGAGAAGTAGAAGGAGAGGACACGGTGGTGCCATTCACCTTGGCCTCTGCCTGGGGCTAAGGCAGCCAAAAAAAAAAAAGAATTATTTTTCATAATAAACATTTAAACAAATATATAAAATAAAAACATTATAGACACTCAGTATTCAGAAAAATTTGACTCTCCTTGCTTAAAAACCTTCTAAAGATTATTGGACTTGGGTATTTTACTGTTGATGTGATCCATGGATATTATTTTTATATCTGAATTGTGTTGCTTTGTAAAAAGGAGAAAAACTCACAGCTAAAATGAAATAAGAAACATAAATCATTAAACTAAAAGACTGAAAGATTTCAAAAGCCATGTGGAAGGGTCGGTGAAATGGTTCAGCAGACTAAGCGCTTGCTTTGGCAAACACAGGGACTGGGGCTTGATTCCCGGTACTGCATGTGTGTAGGCCCCGCCCCCCGGCATGCTGAGATGGCCATTGAGGCTGGGTATGGTGGCCCGCTGGCCTGTAATACCACCCTGGGGAGGCTGAAAACAGGAAAATCACTACGAGTCCCAGCTGTGTAGTGAGACCCTGTGACATGTACATAAATGAAAAATAAACACATAAATAAAAAGAAAAGCCACATGGGAATGATAAGGCCATGTGAGATCTGAAAAATGTAATGGAGAGTTCATATTTTGGGAAAATATTAAATAACATGATAGAGAAAACGTATTTTAAAATTTAAAGTTCCCAGAAAGCCAGGAAGATGTCTGGGTAGGAAATGTTACCATGCCAATACCTTGCTAGGTTTTAAATGGAGGCTTAAAAATATTAGGTATTAAAAGAAAAAGTCCCCCCAAAATGAGAGAGAACTAATTTCAATCAAGTGCTCCTATTTGACAGGTAAAGTTTCCACAGAGCGCTAGTGGGAACCCTCTGGCATTTTCCCCCAGAATGCGTTTCATATTGCTCAAATACAAAACATTTTGACAGAACTGGGGTGCAGCTCAGTGGTAGAGCACTTGCCTAGCATGCATGAGACTCTGGGTTCAAGTACAAGTGCCATTTTCAAAAGGATAAGCTTTTCTTTAAAAAAAAATCAGTTTGGGCTGGGTACGGTGGTTAAGCCCACCACTCTGGGAGGCTGAGGCAGGAGGACCTCAAATGGGGCAAGTCATTGTAGACCCAGTCACAAAAAAATGAAGGCAGAAAATAACACCTAGCCCTTTTCTGGGCACCTTCTAAACATGTCAGAACTGACGGGTACTTCTAAGAAAGACTCTGAGTTCTGTGCTGGGTTATTTAAGGGAGATCACTAATATATGTAAATATTCCACGGTAGAGAGATGTGGCTCTCACTTGCTCTAGCAGCTGTCTTAGCCTATGTAACTGTGACTCCAGCTGTTTATTATGGTCTTCCAGGATTTGCATCCTGGCTTCCAGGCGGCCTTTGTGTTGGCGCAATAGCTTGGCCTCAGCAATGAGCTCAGCATCCCGAGGACTCTGGGGAGAAGTAGGCATCATTTCTGGAGGGGACGGCAGTGGGGATAGGCCTTTGTGATCATGCTGCTGCTTCAGACGATCGTATTCTGCTTGCAGATTCCTGTTGGCAATAAAGAAGTAGAAACAAAAAAGAAGAAGAAGAGAAAAAGCAAAATTGAATTATCATCATCAGATTTCATACTGCACAGCAGATGAATGAATCCGACCACCACCAAACAAGAGCAAGCAAAAGAGAGGCACCAATGGATGGTTTTTATGATGATGATCTTACCAATGTTAAAAGAACAAAATAAAATTCGAAGCTTTTGACTGGTGTGTGCAGGGAGATGCTTTTAAATTTTTTATGTTGTACTAAAAGCCTCAGGAGTGCTATGTTCAACTAAGTAAGCAGCAAAGGGTTTAATCATTTTGTAAATATTTCTTTATAATGTCATGAGATTAAAATTTTTATACCTCTAAAACACTTTGGTTTGCTTGTAAAAAATCAAGCGTTTTTTGTCTAAAATATAGAAAGATTATACTCACATACCCACCACCCTGCTTTAGTAAGATTAACATTTGTAACTTTTTCTTCAGACTCCTTTGAAGAAATAAAATGAGAGCTAAAGCAGAAGCTCTCCCGCACACCCGCCTTGAATCCATACCAGCCCTTCTTCACCATCGCTGCCGGGAAAATGCCATACTGAATACTTTGTCCGCCATTATCATCAACGTATCCAGGAATGTTATACTGACCTTAATAGACATGCCAATAGCCATCTAAAAACTGCCATATTGTGTGATTCAATCTATTAACATTATTTTCCACATTCTTAAGCTTTACATTTAAGACCTTTTTTTGCTTAGGAATGCACATACCATTCTAAGAATTGGGTTTTCTTTTCTTTCAACAGCTGTTTGGAGATTCATCCATGTCAATACATGTCAGCTTTCTGTTTTACTACTTAAGGTGTCATTCTGTTCTTTGCAAATGCCAAAAGCATCCTCCTGGTCCACGGACACTCAGGCTGTTTCAAACTTCCCACTACTATAAATCATGAGGTAATGAATTTCCTCATATCTTGCCTTTCAGATACCTGTTTAAGAGTCTCTACAGAGTACACCTTGCTGTGAAACTGTGAACTTCTTTCAAGTTAACTAATTCTTCAGGTTTTCTTTATGCGTTTTCCTCATGGATGATTTTTTTTCTCATTAATATTCCTGATATATTCTCAGTGCTTATTATCCTTTGTCACTTACGTACATGGAAAATAGCTGTTGCTCCTACCTTACTGTAGTTTACTTTGCTCATGGCATCCTATGGTACAAACAACTGAAATTTCAACATAGTTCTCTATGTTCCCTGCATTGTATATTTTAAGAAAGTTACACCTACAATTTAAAGTTTAAAATTGTGTTTTTTATATTCAGGACTTTAATTCGCCTCCATTCTATTTTTGTGCTGAATGCGAGCATATTGTCTAATTTTCCTTTTCCCTGGTAGATAAACAAATAAACCAACTAACTCCCCTTAATGTACAGTCTATCTATTCCCCACCGCCTTCCAACAGTACCTCTGCATTACAGCAAGTGGCCACAAATACGCAATTGTGCATTTTGGGCTATTGTACTCCACTGGTCTGTACAACATTAACCAATCAGTATGGTAGGCTTTTCCATCTTCACTTCCTTAAAACTGTCTTGATTATTCTCATGTCTTTATCTTCACTATGATTTTAGCACCAATTTTCATATTTCATGAAATCTTTGTTGAAATTTTAGGTCTGGATTATATTGAATTTTTAGATTAAACTGAGAAGAATCAAGTTCCATATCCTACTTTCATTTTATGTGTATTAATGTTTTGTATTTTAATGTTTGTTTTCTTTTTTATTCCTGCACAATGAATGCCCAAATTACTTTATCTTTAACATTTTAAAATAAATGCTTTCAGGATCATAGACTCTCTTCTTGGAACCATTTTAATTGTGTACAAAAAGTATGGACATGTACCATTTGATTTAATTTGGGGTCTCATATTTTGTAATCTTTGTTATTTTTCTATTTAACAGTCTTTTAGGAGGGCAGTTTTTATAGTTTCATTTTTATCTTTTCAGTGCACATTTCTAATTTACTTGCATTTAAATCAGAGAATACCCATAAGATAATCATCCTTTGAAATTTAGCAATAACTTTTTTCTATGATTTGGCTCACAGTCATGTTCTACTAAAAATGTTCACTGAACATTTTAAAGTGGGTATTTTCTCATATGAATGGTAGTCTTCAAATACAGTGTTGATTCTGTTCTTCAAAATTTTATATTCTTAATAATTTTTTGATTTATAGCTATTAAATTTTGCTAAGAGGAATGTTGAAGTAAAATGGGATTGTGTCTTTTATTTATTTATTTATGTATTTATTTATTTATTTTGGTATCGGGGATTGAACTCAGGACTTTGGGCTTGCCAGGCAGGCGCTTATGCCACTGATCTATATCCTTGGCCCTGTTTCTCCTTTTAATTCAGTTATAATTCACTTTTATTTGCTGACCTATGATGTCAGATACATAAAAAGAACTTGGCTTTTTTCCTGCATTTTATTAATGCATATAATATACATTTTTGTTCCTACTAAAATGACTATTGCCAAGAATTTTATTTTGTGTAAGTATATTTATGGCTATTCTACATTCTTCCTGTTATATTTGATTACTGTCAAAGAAATATAAACAGTATTATTGTATGCAAGGGTCCGAAAAGCTTTAAGATTTACTGAGAATACAATTCTAGTTGAGGATACTTCTGATATTTGATACCCAGTGATTGATTAGAACTCTTTTGAAATCTTTTACTAGTTAAATTAAGCACTGAATTAAGATGATAGATTTCAGGTGCTCAAAGACGGTATTTTATCAAGTAAGACAACTTCCTACCCACAAATATGGGGAAATCTAGGTCTAAGAAAAGAGACATGATACATAAGTGACAGGGAAGCAAGAAGAGTTTCACAATGTCTTGTGTGAAATGATCTCATGGTCAGGTTTCCTATTAGGGAAACACATTCTCAGTGTTCTAAAAACATTCCACAGGGAATGCTGTCTTCCAAATTGTTCAGGTTCAAAATGCTGGCTCTCTGCAATGAAGTAGAAATGAAATCCAATACATTCTTGGTTTGTTGTTCTTTTTCTTTTTTTTTTCCCTTACACCCTACCCTTTACCTAATATGATAAGCTTTACACGAGTTTATTTAAAGTCCTGCAGAAAATGAATCAATGATCTTTTTCTCATCTACAAGGACAGAATCTGTACTGACTGAAATTCTATCACTATCAACCTTCAAGGATAGTTGTTTTTGCAGTTTGTTTCATAGCAATCTGTTTTGTTAAAAGAGATAAGAGCTTTATGAAAGTAAACTCAGCTTCAGCCAGATTCTGCACGCTGGTCCTCTGGGTGTGAGCTAATGCATGCAGTCGTCCATATTAATTAAATCCAATTTCTGACCACTTAACATGCAATCAGCTAAATGTTTCTGGGAACTTCAATCAGCATCCAGTGTTCACAAGGTCTCATTCCACAGACGCTACCTTGTATTTTTTTTCCCTAGCAGTTACTTGCCAAAAGGAAACTATGTTCACTGAAATGTTCCAACTGACAATATTTTTTATTTAAAATCCCTTTCAAGTTTTATCTTTCTACCAGACTCAGTCACCCATGATGCTCCTTTTGAAAACATTGCTAGACACAGAGTTCAAGACAGTACAACCAATCATTACTGTATTCCTATCTACTTTTCATGAAGGTACTCATGGGACAGTACCTTTGCTAGAAAGATCTGCCTTCGTATCTTGATCCTGAAGGTGTAATTGCCCACAAGACTCTCCTTTTGTGAGTTATTTATAAGTGTCTTTGCTCAGGAAACATGGTTTGGTATATACAACAGAGTGAATTTTGTTAGTGTATTTTCTAGTGAAAACTAGAAAAGGCTCATTTTAATCAGCCAGGGCTTCTCAAAGCTGAGTTGTAAAGAATACCAATTGCTCTATGTAGGTCTTTTTTTTCTCTCCCAGATGTCTGAAATTTCTCTTGGGAGACCATTTCCTTAAAGACTCACATCCTCCTTCAATTCTAGATGGTTCTTTGCTATTATAGCTTTAAATGTTGTGTCTCTGTGATTTCCTCTATTCTCTTCTGAAATCCCTCGAACATACCCCCAAATAAACCCTGAAGCATACACCTAGTAACACCAGTGATTGCTCTCACTCTCTCTCCACACCTTCTCTCTTCTTCTCCCATCATGTAGTCCAGGCTGGCACTGGCATGCACCACAATGAATAGCAAGAGCAATCTTTATTCTTGTGATGTTGTGTCACTTTACATTCATGGAGGGGCCTCACTTCTTTGGTGTTTTAGATTCTACTTTGGAGACACATGTTAAAAGAGATATTGTACGTGTGTGCATGTGTGTGTTTTCTTTAAATTTATTTGTCTTTCTAAACTCATCTCTATCAATGAGTTTTGTGGCAGCACACCCACCACTGAAAAGGCCCCCAGTGATGTGGAAATATTGCTGATTGCGTCATCAGACAACAGGCAGGTTCAGATCCTGGTTTAAAGCTAATATGCTCCCCTGCTTACTGCACTCTCCTTTCTCAGGTTCCATGAACTAGGCCCACAGATAAACTGTGGTCCCCTACAGTAGTCAGAACTGTTCTTGATCATATTGCAGCTTGTGCATGTATCTTTCCAAGAGTGCTTATATAGGGCCTCAACTTCCAATAGTAATCCTGGCTCTGTACTTTTACCTTGTAAGAATTTTGATCTCGATCATGACTGCAGGGGCCAAAAGCCCACACTCTTAGCTAACTGCTCACCGTGACATACTTTGCTTCTTTTCTATTTCTGCTCCTCAGAGATGTTCATCTTGCTTTAAAGTTCAGCCATGTCTTTTTCATTTTTCATTTTATATATTATCTACCACTAGATAAATGGTAGGAGCAGGGAACGATGCCTTGAAGCAAGAGCTAATCTAATCTTAATCACAGGCTATCAGGACACATTGATTTTGTACACACATGGTCAAGGTTACTTCAGTATTAATTCGAACATTAATTCACTAGCCCA